AGGAAGGGTCCCACCCTAGGCACCCTGGGGAACGTTTTACATCCTCAAAAGCAGTAACAGAATCCTGCGTGCAAACAGAAAGGTGAGGAAGAACAGCAGGCTGGCCTCGGCCTCCCCGGCCACACCTGTGAGGCATGGGCCACACTGCCAGATCTTGCCATGGAGAGGGGCCTGGATCCTGTCGTGAAGACATGCTGGCTGCGGTGTGGGCAGGGCCCGGCACGTGCTGGCTGCCCCACTCTGCCTGAGCCAGAAGAGCCGTCCCAGAGCCACCGGCCTCAGGAGGAGACTGACCCAACCTGCAGCCCAGCGCCAACACTGGCAGAGCCCAGTGGCCTGCAGAGGCTAACAGACGCCGGTTGTCACGTGCCACCGAGGTGCTGAGCTGTTAGCTGCACAGCATCATAACAACAGAAGCCTGACTGATACTGCAGAGCAGAGACCCCAAAACAGACCAGAGAGGGGCTGTGGGCTCCAGAGCAGAACAGGAAAACCACAGACCACAGGATCCAGATGGGGGAAGCCTGTGGAGGACTTGGGGCAGTGTAGACAGGGTCTCTGGAACCCGCAAATGAGGTGGCGGCCAGTGACTGCCAGGAGGTGCTGCCTGCACAGCCCTGAGTCCCCATTGAGAATTCACCCACTGCTCCTCCAACAGAGACTGAGCCCCAGTGTGCCTGTCCATGGTGGGGGACCACGGGGTTGGGGGGCCTGGCCAGCCGGGAGGCCCCCCAGGACATGGGTGCAGGACATCCGTGCAGAACTGGACGGCCAAGGCTTGGCAAGGAGCCGCCACCAGAGGGCAGAGTGGGCCCAGTCAGGGCTATGGTGGACGCTGGCCAACGAGGCAGAGGGAGCAGGCAGGTCTCTCAGGACAGTGCACCCCCTCACCCCAGCCTCAGCCCACCTCAGTCACACTCCCACAGACCTCGGCCACCAGCCCCAAGAGGCACAGGCACTCGGGGCCCCTCTGGGCCGAGCAGGCAGTCTGAGCGCGCTGAGGCCCATCACCGTGAACTGCCTATCCACAGACACGTCTCCTGGGACGTTTATGGGCCTGGACACTTGGATAACCGGGAGTCAGCGCGCCGGGGGCCTCAGACCGAAGGACCCTGAGGTAAGAGCCCACCCACCCCATCCTGCCCAGAGCCCTCCAGGTCACAGCTCCCCAGCAGACGCCCAGCCAGGTAGCCCTCCCCTCCCCACCGTCTGGCAGGGGGCAGGGCAGAGGCAGCAGGTGGCCTGGGCCTGTCCTACTTGTCCGTTCCACACCTGGGCCAAAGTCTCAAGGCCAGTGTCCACATGGGGTCCCAGTGGCCGGAACCGCAGCTGAGGCCAGCCTGGGTGGGCCGGAGAGAGGAGCCCAGGGCCCATGGGTCTCCCTGGCCTCCCTCCCTCTCCACCCCAACACCCTCCAGCACTAGGCCCAGAAGGAGCCCCTCCTAGAGCCATGCTGGCATGTCTGAGGTCACATGGGAGCCTGGAGCTTGAGCCGTGAGGCTCCTCCTGCCCCCATGAAGTGAAGCCCCGGAAGAGACTGGCTCTGCCTGCGAGCTGTGGGGCATGAGGCAAGTCTCCCTGCTTCAGGGTCTGTCAATTGTAGCATCACACCTGCTGCTGTGGACCTGGGGTCCACCTAAAGCCCACCTCGGATGACATCCAGAGCCCACCTGAGGTCATACCTAGGGTCACACTTGGAGTCATGCCCTCAGCCCGCCTGTAGCCCACTGGAGCAGCTTGGGCAGGGAAGAGGGCCACAGCTCTGCTCTCCCCCACCTGCCAGCCCCAAATTCACAACAGGTCCCTCTTGATGGCCTGGTCTGTATGAGCCAGGGCAGGGGTTCCTTTCTCCACCCACATCCCCCCAGAATGTCCACTCTCTTGGGGACAGCACCAGGATCCCCTCAGGCCGACACCCAGCCTGGCTGCAGCAGGTCCCTGGGCACTAGGGGGCAGGACCACCAGAGGAAGGAACCCCATCCCCACCACATCCAGGCACAGAGGGCCTGCGTTCCCCCACTCGGGCTCCAAGGACCATAGGCTGGGCCCACGCGTGGGCAGGCTGAGGCCGCGGCCACCACTGAGGGGCAATCTTTGCTGCCACCCAGCGGCCACCAAAGGCAGCTCAGGAGGAGCCTCCACTGACCACCCAGGCAGCAGCCTGCTGACCTCAAGGGACCCGCTGGGGAGGCAGAGTTGCTGGGCCTCAGGACTCGATCCAGGGTGGCTGAAGTCAGTCCTGGGCCTAGACAGTGTGCCCTGGGAACCTGGCCAGAGGGCAGTTGGGGCCTCTGTCAGACCACATTCTGGGCACAGTTGATTCATCCATCCCAGGGCCACTAGCCACGGTCACTGCCTCATCCTGGGGCCACCCTGGCTCTACCAGCTCCAGGGCCCTGCCTTGGGGAAGGGAGAAGGTCTTGCTGCCCTTGGCTTCTCTCCTGCATGCATGTCCTGCCTGCAGTAGCCCCAGCCCACAGCCACATAACAGGGTATACCCCAGAAGCCCCCATGTCACACACGCTCAGATGTCTTTGAGCTATGAAGCTCCAAGTCACCACTAACCATGACTGCCCGAACTCAGGCCTGGAGGTCCCCACACTGCCCTATCATGCGCCCTGGGGCCCTCAGTCCTGAATCCACAACCTTGGGGATGACATCATCATGCCCAGGCCCAGAGAGGCAGAGCCAGGCCTGTTCCTGCCACATCCCCAGGTCCCAGTACAAGGACAAGGGTATACCCACCAGCAACCACAGCCCTGGTTGCTCAGGTCTCACCCACATACCCACCTGGGGGCTGAATGTCTCACTGGCTGTCCAGCGTGCCTGTGTGCTTCTTTTTTCTTTTTTTTTAGTCAGAGTCTCACTCTGTTGCCCAGGCTAGAGTGAGTGCTGCAGTGTCAGCCTAGCTCACAGCAACCTCAACTCCTGGGCTCAAGCGATCCTCCTGCCTCAGCCTCCCGAGTAGCTGGGACTACAGGCATGCACCACTATGCTCGGCTAATTTTTTCTATATATTTTTAGTTGGCCAATTAATTTCTTTCTATTTTTAGTAGAGAAGGGGTCTTGCTCTTGCTGGTTTCGAACTCCTGACCTTGAGCTGTCTGCCTGCCTCGGCTTCCCAGAGTGCTAGGATTATAGGCTCTGCCTCTCCGTATGCTTCTTGACAGCTCTTCTCAGCCTGCTGGGCTGCTGGGTGGAGTGAGCCCAGCTTTCCCTGTCTGACCCCCACTGGCTCCCTGACCTCTAGGACCAAGCCCAACATGCCAAGCCTCCCTTCACACTGCCGCATGTCCTACTCTGGTGGCCCCTCTGTGCCCAGACATCCTGGGTCTTGCAGGAACCGGCTCCTGTCTTACCCACAGCCCGGGCAGCCCAGAGCCTGGCACACAGGGGCCCTTGGCAGACAGGAGCTGCCTAGTGCTAAGGCAGGCCCTGCCAACACCCAGCTTCGGTGAGGGGTAGGAGCGGGCACCCAGACGGACTCGGGCCCAGGCACAGCCCTTGGGCGGGACATCCCGAGAGTGACTTTGAGAATAAGACTGGCTGGGCCCCCCCACATGCTCCTCTCCAAGGGCAGAGGCCAACCCACTGGCCCTGCCTGGACAGCCCACCTCACCCTCATGCCCCTGGGTTAAAGCCGTGGGGGAGTCAGATAGGCCTGGCCTGAGCAAGGGCCAGAAGGGCTTCTCCTCTCCCCAGGCCCTCCTTTCCCCTCCTCCTCCGTCTCCATGCCCACATAGAGAGGCCTGGGGGGACCCATCTGTTGGACGCCCCTCCAGCCAGGGGTGGTGAGGAGCTGCACCCTGGACCATGAGACAAACTTCTCACACAGTAGTATCAACCATCCCCTTCCCGGCCATCCAGAGCCACCCACAAGGGGACTGAGCAGGGCAGCCTGGCCTCGGGGCCCCCAGTGGACGGGCCAGAGACACCCTACTCCAGCTGCCTGCACACCAGCTCACACCCAGGAAGCAGGGAGAATGGGCGTCCACCCCACCAGACGATGCTGACAGCATAGCCAAGCCTGCTGGTGGCCAAGGAACCTTGGCCTCCCCCGGTTGGTGACAGAGAGCTGGCATTGGATGCAGGCTTCCTGTAAAGGGCCAGCACCAATGTGTTTGGTTTCATGGGCACATGGTCTCGTGCAAACTCCTCAGCGCTGCTGCTGTCACACAGAACAGCCACATGGGGCGTCCACAGAACAGGCCGCGGGGGGGTTTGGATCGTGGATCCGCATCATGAATCGGGCAGCAGGGGCCCAGGCAAGAGCCCTGTCCCACACTGGGCCGGTGCCAGTCGTGCTTCCCAGGCAGCTCAGCCGCAGCCCCCACCCCAGCACCCCCCAAGGCGAGAGGCCTTAGCTGCTCTCAGGCCCGAGGACAGGCCCAGAACCTGCTTCCAAACATACTAACGGAAGGCAGACACGAAAGGTCCCACACAGCACGGCTCCATCTCGGAAATGCCCAGACAGGCCACGCCGCAGAGAGAAAGCAGACTGGGCGCAGCTGGTGCTGGGGGTGCCCAGCCTGCCAGTGGTGGAGGCTCACTGGGGGCGACGGGCAAACGTTTTCCTAGACAGAGACAGTGAGCACACACTGTCATGATGTACTAAATGCCACTGAACTGAGCATCTGAAAATGGCTAATTTTATGTTACGTGATTTTGACCTCAAAAAGTTTAAAAAAGACAACTAGATCGTTCAGATATATAGCAATGTATAAAATTAACACCCAAATCAATAAATTTCTTATATTCTAATAAAAAGGATGTTCCCAATGAAATACTGTAACACCCAAGAAGAATGGAGAGAGGCCGGCTCTGATGCCACCCACCCTGCCCACTCAGAAGGGTCCGCCCACCCTTGCGCCGGAGCGTCTGTCCTACACGGGAGGGCTGAGGCAGTAGGAGACCCCGCGGCCTGCTCACGCGTGCCCACTCCAGAGCCCACCCAGAGCCCCAGGCCTGCTGCCCACAGCAAGGGTCTCTCTGAACCCCACCTCATAGGCGAGGCCGGAACCATCAAGGCTGGCATTCAGCCCAGGCTGTTATGAAGTGCCTGTACCCTCTGCAAGCCCAGGTCAGTGCTGTGGGGCTCCTTGTCACAGGGCATCGTGGCTTCCTGTTCCCGAGTGTGTTCCCTGCTGAAGGGCAGCTCCTCGAAGGCGGGGCCACGGCCTCTGCCCCAGCACAACGCACATTCCAGTCCTGTGAGAAACATCTTCTGAGCTGAAGGGACTTAACAGCAGAGGGACAGCTCCGTGCCCACCGTATGCTAGGCAGTCTCTGAGATGCCCCAGTGGCCCCCACTCCTGGGGTCCACACTGAGTGGGGGCTGGACCCAGCAGCTCGCTCTTGGCGAACAGAATTCCGCTGAGGTGTCAGGTGTCACTTTCGAGAGCAGGTTACAAGAAGACAGTGGCTTCCATCTCAGGTGCATCTCACTTGCTGGCTGGCCAGCTCTGAGGGAAGCTGGCTGCCACGACGACGCAAACTGTCCCATGGACAGGCCCGGTGGCAAGGAACCCAGGGTGCCCCTAGAAGAGACATTTGCAATGCAAAGGACAAGGAAGAGCTATCAAAGGCAGAAATCAAACAGCCATTGACAGTATAGACAGGAGTGATAACACCTTATGGGTTGAAAAAACAAAACAGGCCACAATAACACAGTAACAGGACATTAAAACAAAAAGGGCAGGCCAGGTGCATGGCTCAATGTGTGTTATCCTAGCACACTGGGAGGCCAAAGTGGGAGGACTGCTTGAGCTCAGGAGTTTGAGACCAGCCCCAGCAAGATCAAGACCCCATCTCTACTAAAACTAGAAAAAAATTAGCTGGGTGTGGTGGTACATACCTGTGGTAGCTGATGGTGCACACCAGCTACTTGGAGTCTGAGACAGGAGGATCACTTGAGCCCAGGAGTTGGAGACTATAGTGAGCTATGATGACGCCACTGCACTCTAGCCCAGTGAGACTCTGTCTCAAAAAAAAAAAAAAAAAAAAAACCCAAGAGGGCAGTGATGCAAGGTTCTAGTGCTGCCCAAGAGAGGGACAAAGACACAGGTGAATGTTAAACTTTGATAAGGCAAGTGTGCTTGTGACAATGTCTAGGGTACATGGATAAAGAACAGAAATGGAATTTATAGCATCCCCAACTGGAGGGACAAAAAGCACAGAGTGAGATGACAAAATAAGCATAACAGGTAAACATGCTAAATGCTCTAAGTAAAAGCTAACAACTGCCGGGAGGGATTAGGAAACAGCTCGGTCTGTTCACCAGGACCTGACACAGACAGCCACAGAAAGCCTGGACAAAAGCCTATGGGAAAATACACACCTGGAGACATCTGCAGCTCACTGGAATGAGGAGGGTGCCAAAGCTCTTTGCTCCTGTGGTAACAAGAAAAATTCATCCAATTTAACACCCAGATTTGCTGTGGAGGCAGTGAAGAGCAGTGGATGTGGACAAGCCTGGAGAATGGAATTCCAGAACCTACCTGGCAGACTCCACAGCAGGTGGATGCCTGGCTGGGTACAGCAGTGTGTCATAACAGAGGACACCGTGCGGCCAGGCATGGTCAACAGCACGAACTACCAGGTGATCTAATATATGTGACACTGGAGCCCCAGGGAGAAGGTCTTCTGTCTGGCTGACCCCGCCACTGGAGCTGCCCCCAAAGCAGCACCTGGGGAGTTCCCAAAAGGAAGGGCTGCAAACCATCCCGAGCTGGGGCCAGCTGGGAACCCAAAGGAGCACCAAACACCAGGTGACCAGGCCAAAGCATGTATGAGGGGACTGACATACAGGGCTCTGGCATCCTTGTGACAGGCAGGGAGACGAGGGATGTTCCACCCCGGTGTGTCCACCAGGAGGGGGTTGTATTATGGAGTTCACATGAGGTTTATGGAATTTGGCTCAGGGCTAGAGCTGGTTTTTACATATTTAGCAACATGTTTGATCTTTCAGTGCATGGGTCCTCAAACTTCGGCCCGCGGGCCACATGTCCATGTGGCCGAGGACATTTATCCGGACATTTTGCCACTGCTGCCTGTCCTGCTTAGCAGCTGACCTGTCCCAGGCCCACAGTGTGCGTGTGTGGAATGTGTGCCGCACTCTCCAATGGCCCTCCAATGGTCCGAGGGACAGTGAACTGGCCCCCTGTTTAACAAGTTTGAGGACCGCTGTTTCCCTGTTTTGGGCAGCAACCTAAACAACTTGTTCAGTGCCTAGGAATGTTCAAGGCTACATACAAGTTGGGTTCAAGCCTGCAGGGAAATCTGCATATGGCCAGGCCACAGGGCAGTCAGGGCCCTCTGTGTTTCTCTGTCAGGAGAAAGTGGGGGAGCTGGGAGCCTACAGAAGGAGAGACAGAATGCTACAGGAACATTGATTCAAGAAGCTAACTTAAAAACCAGCCAAACACACATGCAGGACAAATACGAAGAAAAGCCATTCCTAGATATGTCACAGCCAACCTACTGAAAGAAAAAAAGGAAGTCTAAAAGCTTCCAGGGGTGAGGTGGGGGAATGTGTGGGGTGAGGGGACAGGGAGATACATTATATACAGGAACACGATAAAGTTACTACTGACTTCTCATCATAACTATGCAAGTCAGAAGACAATGGAATTGCTTCTTTAAAGTACAGGAAAGAAAAGACAAACTAGAATTCTGTGTCTAGCAAAACTGTCCTTCAAAAATGAAGGAAAAATAAGATATTTTCAGATCAATGAAAGCTGAGCAATCAGACCTAACTAAATTAAATCCTAAAGGAAATTTTTCAGGATGAAGGGAAATGACACTAGATGGAAGCTCAGATCTACTAAAAAGAATAAAGAGCATCAAAAATGGTAAATATGTAGTTAAATATAAAACAAGAATATATGTGCCAGGCAGATTAACCAAAATAAAGATGATGATCTATATTAACCTTAGACAAAATATAATTTAAGCACAAATTATCACTAGAGACAAAAAGGGTTGATTTGTAATTATGAAAGATTTAATTCAACAGAAACTTATTAATAATTCTAAACTTGTATGTACCTATACAACCAGGAGGAGAAATAGACAAATCAGCCATCATAGACTCTAACACAGCTATTTATATAACTGATATATCAGGTAAACAAACAAACCATTAAGGCTACAGATTTGTATAATAAATCTAGATCTTATAGACATACATAGAATGCTATGAATATCTCAGATCATATATTCTTTTTAAGCACACATGGAATATCTATAAAAATTGATCACATAGGAGCCAGGTGTAGTGGCTCACATCTGTAGTCCCAATGACTCAGGAGGCTGGGGCAGGAAGATTGTTTAAGGCCAGGGGATTGAGGCTACACTTTAGTCTGGGTGACAGAGCAAGATCCCATCTCTAAAAAAAAAAAAAAAAAAAATTGGTGAAAGTTTCAACAAACCCTTTACTATAATGCAGGTAAGTTAGATAACAGCAACAAAACAGAAAAAACAAACTTCCACAGGCACTGCCTCACACCCGTTAAGACAGCTACCATCAAACAAATAGAAGATAATGAATGTTGCAAGGATGTATAGAAATTGGAACCCTCATGTACTGTTGGTGGAAAAATAAAATTGTGCAGCCACTGTGGAAAACACAGTATGTTGGCTCCTCAAACAATTAAATAGGCCCAAGCAGGCATGGTGGCTCACGCCTGTAATCCTAGCACTTTGGGAGGCTGAGGCGGGAGGATTGCTTGAGCTCAGGAGTTTGAGACCAGCCTGAACAAGAGCGAGACCTTGTCTCCACCAACAATAGAAAATAATTAGCTAGATGTAGTGGCGCACACCTGTAATTCCAGCTACTTGGGAGGCTGAGGCAGGAGGATCACTGGAGCCCAGGAGTTTGAAGTTGCAGTGAGTCATGATGACACCACTGCATTCCAGCCTGAGCAAAAGAAGGAGACCCTGTCCATCACTTCCCCTACTCCCCCAAAATTAAAAATATAATTACCATATGATCCAGCAATTCCACCTCTGAGTATCTATCCAGAAAAATTGAAATCAGGGTCTCAGAAAGTTAGAGCCCTGTTCATAGCAGCATTATTCACAATAGCCAAGAGGTGGAAGCAACCCAAGTGTCCACTGATGAATGAATGGATAAACAAAATAAGGAACAAAGTTCTGACACATTCTCGAGCATGGATGAATCTTGATGACATTAACCTAAGTGAAATAAGCCAGTCACAAAAGGACAAATCCTGTATGATTGCACTCATATGAGGTCCCAGAGTAGTAAGACTCATAGAGACAGAGAGTAGAATGGTGGGTACCAGGGGCTATGGGGGTGGGATGGGAGTTAGTGTTTAATGGGGACAGAGCTTCAGTTTGGGAAGATGAAAAAGATTCTGGAGATGAGTGGTGGTGATGGCTGCACAACATTATGAATGTACTTAATCCCACTTTAATGTACACTTAAAATGATTAAAAATTTGGTAAATTTTATGTTATGTGTATTTCACAATTAAAAATGTTTAATATTTGGAGATAGAATCTTCAAAAAGGTAGTTAAGATTAAATAAGGTCACTAGGGTAGACCCTAACCCAATATGACTGGTGTTTTTATGAGAAGAGACTAGGACACAGACATACACAGAGGGACGACACGTGAGGACACAAGGAGAGAGACCTTCCGAGGAGAAACCAGAACTGCTCACACCGATCTAGGACTTCCAGCCTCCAGGACTATGAGGGTATAAATTTCTGCTGTTTTAAGCCCCCCAATTTGTGGTACTTTGTTATGGCAGCCCAAGCAGACTAACACACAGATTAAAGGAGAAATATCATATGATCATAAAAAAATAAAATTCAACATCCATTCATGATTTTTATAATTAGCAAACTAGGAATACAATTGAACTTCCTTTTTTTTTATTTCAGCATATTATGGAGGTACAAATGTTTAGGTTACATATGTTGCCCTTGGCCCTCCTCCCTCTTCGAGTCAGAGCTTCAAGCACATCCATCTCCCAGATGGTGCGTGTCGCACTCATTATGTATGTATATACCCATACCCTCCTCCCCCTTCCATCTGCCCGACGCCCGATAAATGTTATTCCTATATGTCCACTTATGTGTTGATCAGTGAAACCAATTTGCTGGTGAGTACATGTGGTGCTTAATTTTCCACAGAATTGAACTTTATGTTTGAAAATCCCCCAGGGGCTGGGTGTGGTGGCTCACACCTGTAGTTCCAGCACTTTGAGAGGCCAAGGTAGGAGGACTGCTTGAGCCCAGTGAGCTGTGATCGGGCCACTGCACTCCAGCATGGGCAATAGGACGAGACCCTGTCTCTACAAAAACTTCTAAAAATTAAAAAAAAAAAAAAAATCCCCCAGGGCCCTTTCCCCAGTGCTCTGTGGGCCCATCGTGTGGGCCCCTCTTGGAGGTTGGGAGGACATGTGGGCCACAGCACAAGCCCCACCCTTGGCTGCAGACTTCGTAGGAGATCCCTAAATTCCTTCACAACCCCTCCAAGGCCAGCCCAGCGACAGGCCCGTAAGACACTCTTGTCTCCATACAAAGGAGAATGTGGCCCTGCCACCTTTTTCCCTTATTTTGTTTATCCAGTCATCCATCAGTGGACAATTGGGTTGCTTCTACCTCTTGGCTATTGTGAATAATGCTGCTATGAACAGGGCTCTAACTCTTCGAGACCCTGATTTCAATTTTTCTGGATAGATACTGAGAGATAGAACTGCTGGATCACATTGGACACATTGGGGGGATGGAGGGGGGACAGGGGCAACGTTTGTAACCCTAACAATATTTGTACCTCCATAATATGATGAAATAAAAGGAAAAAAAAAAGAATTGCTGGATCATATGGTAATTATATTTTTAATTTTGGGGGAGTAGGGGAGGTGATGGACAGGGTCTCCCTCTTTTGCTCAGGTTGGAGTGCAGTGGTGTCATCATAGTTCACTGCAACCTCAAACTCCTGGGCTCCAGTGATCCTCCTGCCTCAGCCATCCAGACCTAGCCATGGGGTGCAGACCACAAGCAAAATCAGGGATGTCCATCATGAACTCCAAGGCAAAGAGATGGGCCTGTCAGACGCCCAGGATGGCGCCTGGACCTCATCCAGAGACCCCCAGATCACGTGGATAAAACTAGAATGAAGAAGAGGGACTCTGGGGCATCTCACCGACATCCCTGACTGGGCAGGAGTGATCACAGACCCCTGCACCCCCACACGGAGCACTCACCCTGGTCTGAAACCACAGAACATTCCACATGCATGTATACACACTTGTGTGTGCATGTGCACACATGTGGGCTCAGACTGTGCACCTCTATGTATACATACCTACAATAGCACACATACACATATGTATGTGTGCTTGCACATGCATTCATTA